GTGGGTGAGGATGAGAGCTAGCGTTGGAGTGGGTGAGGATGAGAGCTAGCGTTGGAGTGGGTGAGGATGAGAGCTAGTGTTGGAGTGGGTGAGAGTTTTTATTATGGAGAATGGGACGCACTGCTCACGCCTTCTGGAGTTTAGAAGGAAGCTAATTTCAGCCTTTATGAGTAGGACAGTGTCCTTCAGCATAGAGTGGTTAAACACATTTAGGTCCATGTGCGGAAGGAGATTCTGCTTCAACATAGACAAACCTTACACTCAGTACAAGAAGCCATTCACAGAGGAACAAATCGTGTGTGATTCCCACAGTGACAGAAAGTAGAAGGTGGTGCCAGGGGCTGGGATGGGTGGGGAGTTACTGTTTCATGGAGACAGAGTTTGAGTTTGGGAAGATGAGAAAATTCTGGAGATGGAAGGGGGTGATGGTGGCACAGCACTGTGAGTGTGCTTAATGCAGCTGAGCTGTGCACTTAAAAATGGATAAGATGGTATATTTTTTACTATGCATATATTTTACCACAGTTTTTTCAAAATAGTACACAACGTCCCTGAGGTATATGGTGACATATCACTCACACTGTATTCATCTGTGAACATAGAAAATCACACATTTGCCGTCAAGACAGAAAATAGAGAAAAGCCACAGAGGGCTTTGGGTGGCTCATTTTTACCCCAAAATCTTATTCAAGGTGTAAATAATTTAGGGTTTTTCAGACAAAATGCAAAATTGCGCTAATAGAATAGGTACTTAGGGAAGGAACAAATTCCCACAAAGTCCTCATGGAAAGAAAAGCAGAACCTTATGAACATGACCATTGAAACTTCGTATCATTCTTCACAGGTCACAAAATAGTATGGTTTGGGCCTTTTTTTTTTTTTTTTTTTGAGACCAAATCTCACGCTCTCACCCTCAGTAGAGTGCCGTGGCATCATATCCCACAGCAGCCTCAAGCTCTTGGGCTCAAGCAATCCTCTTGCCTCAGTTTTTCTGTTTTTAGTAGAGACGGGGTCTTGCTTTTGCTCAGGCTGGTCTCAAATCTGTCAGCTCAGGCAATCCACCTGCCTCAGCCTCCCAGAGTGCTAGGATTACAGGTCTGAGCTACTGCACCTGGTCTGGGCAGTTTTTTGTTTGTTTTTGAGATAAAGTCTCACTTACTTGCCCCTGGTAGAGTACTCTGGTATCACAGCTCACAGCAACCTCAAACTCTTGGGCTCAAGCAATTCTCTTGCCTCAGTCTCCCACGTAGCTGGAACTATAGAAGCCTGCCATAACTCCCAGCTATTTTTAGAGAAGGGGTCTTGCTCTTGCTTAGGCTGGTCTCGAACTCCTGAACCAAGCGTCCACCTGCCTCAGCCTGCCAGAGTGCCGAAATTACAGGTGTGAGCCACCGCACCTGGCCTTGTTTGGGGCATTTTCTAAAACAAACCATTTTGTGTCTGATGTGGGAGAACTGCATCAGCTGGCAGCTGTGACCCTGACTGGCCTGGGGGACGTGGCTTATGGGCTATGGGCCTCTCATTGCCTGAGCAAATCTTACCTCCATCCCTCAGGAGTGGGTTTTGGTTGTGGTCAGGAGGGAATCATTCTTAGGAACTGAGTAGATCGGACAATAGTGACAAGCCAGAGCCAGTAGCATGGCCTTCCTCCTGTTCCCTACATCTATCTCTGCCCATCTGCACATTTCTCCTTCTCTCTCTTTCAATCTTTCTTTCTCTCTCTCTTTTTATTTACTTATTTATTTGAGACAGAGTCTCATTCTGTCACCCTGGGAAGAGTGCTGTGGTGTCATAGCTCATAGCAACCTTCAGCTCGTAGGCTCAAGTAATCCTCCTGCTTCTCCAGAACTCCCTGAGTAGGTGGGACGACTGTGCCTGAGCCACTGTGCGCGGCCTGAGTAGCTGAGACTACAGGTGCCCACCACAACACCTGGCTAGTTTTTCTGTTTTAGTACAGATGAGGTCTCGCTCTTGCTCAGGCTGGTCTCAAACTCTTGAGCTCAGGTGATCTACCCACCTCAGCTTCTCAGCGTTAGGATTATAGGCAGGAGCCACCACGCCTGGCCCTTCTTTCTTTCTCTGTCTTATCTCTCTCTCAATCTCTCTCTTCCTTTATCTCTTTTTTTCTCTTTCTCTTGCCACCTCTTCCTCTTTCTCTCTTCTTCTTTGTGTGTCTCTCTTTCCTTATCCCCTTCTTTCTTTTTCTCTTTCTTCTTTTTCTCTCTCTAGTTTTTTCTCTTACTCCCTTTCTCTTTCTATCTCTCTATCTCTTCTTCTTTCTTTCCCCACCTCTTCCCACCCTACATCTCTTCTCCTCCTCCTCTGGCTCAATTCCAGGGCAGGGGGACATGAACTACTGGGCTAGCCCACAGTGTGGCTGAATCTCCCATGTGCTGGGCCACAGGGAAGAGGACAGGGACTCTGCTATGTCTGCCTGTTGCAGGGTGGTCCCCACCTGAGCTCTGGCAGTCACTGTAACCACCTCCCTGTATCATTTTGACCTGGCTCCTACCTGGGCTTGCAAACAGCTAGAGGTGGGGGCAACCATGGGAAGCCCATCTAGTCTGGCAGGGGTGGGGCTGAGGACCCTCCTCTGCTGGCCCCAATGTCCCTGCCCTGTGCAGGGTTCACTGATGGATATTCTGCGGGAGGTGAGGCCCACCACGTTCTACGGCGTCCCATGGATCTGGGACCGGATGCTCGACAACCTCAAGGCCAGCCAACTGGACTCGACCACGTTGCGGAGGAAGTTTGACAAGTGGGCCATGATGCTGGGACTCAGGACCAATCAGAAGCGGATGTTTGGGTGAGGCTGGGATGTCTAGGGCTGCCTACTTTGGGGGGGGGGGCTGCTGGAGGCTGGGCTGGGATGTCCAGAGGCCGTGCTCTGCTTCCCTGTGTCTGCTTCTCAAGGCACATAGATCTTCCACTATGCTTTGGCCTGGCCAAGAGCCTGACCTTCAACCCAGCCAGGAAGTTGTTTGGCCTGGAACACTGCCAGCAGTTCTTCAACATGGGGCCAGGGCTCCCCAGGGCCACCCTGGACTTCTTCCTCAGCCTCAACATCCCCATCTTTGAGTTCTATGGCTTGACCGAATGCACAGGCATCCACTCCATATCCAGCCACAAGGCCTTCCGGCTGCTGAGGTGGGTCTTCGGGGACGGACGGGCAGGCAAAGAGGTCCAGGACGTGGGGTGACCCCTTCTTCTCACCTGGGAACCCCAAGGGCACATGTGGTCAACCCACTTGGCTCTTGCTCACCAAGGAACACAGGTCCAAAGGCAAATGAGCGAGTGAGCCTATGAGGGGATGACCTCAAGCCCTTTTCCGATTTGCATTTTGAGTTGCAAACTGTTTTTCTTACTAACAGCAAATCATTTTTAACCCCCAAGCATCTCAGGTGAGAGCCACTGTGTGTGAGTGTGCCTACTGCTTTGTGAATGTCACTGCCAAACTTGGCAACTTAGAATGACAATTTACTACCTCACAGTCTCTGTGAGCAAAATTTTAGGAAGTGCTTGATGACTGGGTGGTTCCAGCCAGGGCACCTCTCATGAGGTGCAGTCAAACTGTCAGTGGGACTGACTCCTCTGCAGGCTCTGCGGGGCTGGGGAGCTGCTTCCACAGAGGTGCCCTCATATGGCTGCTGGGGGCTCCCTCCTTGTGGGCCATCAGCAGGAGGTGCTGGCTCCTTGCTACATGATCCTCTCCACTGGGCTGCTTGATAGTCCTCCTAGTATGGCAACCACCTTCCCTCAGAACAAGTGAGGGGAGAGAGAGAGAGAGCAAGGTGAAAGCCACAGTGTCTTTTATGATTAGGGTTGCCAGATTAGCAAATGAAAATACAGGAGTCCAGTTGAGTTTGACTTTCAGATAAATAATGAATAAATTGTGGGTGTTTTTTTAGTATAAGTATATCCTATGCACTATTTGGGACATACTTATAATAAAAAATTTTTGTCTGAAATTTAAAATTAGTTAGGCATCTTATATTTGATCCAATAATCCTATTATCTATTATGACCTAACCTTGGAAGTGGCACTCAGACATTTCTGCTACATCTGATGACAGGTCAGCCCTGAGCAGTGTGTGAGGGGGCTACAGAAAAATGTGGACACCTATGGAAGTCAGTTACTGAAACTACTGATTTAGTTAAGGGACCCCACATTCGTTTTCTGTTGCATGCAGCCTGTACTGATGGAACAGGACAAGATGAGGAACGAGGAGCAAGTTATAGCCCTTTCTACTAGACTGGTTTCCTGCCTGGGCTCACCTCTCAGTAGGTGACTACAGTCAAAGGGAAGCACAGGCAGATGACTGTTAAAGCAGGGAGGACACATTTTATTCCATAATACTACTGCAAAAAAGAAAATAGTCCGGCACAAAGTGAACCCAACTTCGACTGATGTTAAGGGAGTGACTAGGAGTTTTAAAGGAAACACGGGAGACTGAAAGTGAGAGACAGAGTTCTTTCAGGCTTTCGGGTCCTTGAAGAAGCAGTTTGGAGCTGTAGTTTCCTTCACAAAGGACAGAAAAAGGATTCTGAAGTTTGACCTTTCTAAAGTAACTGCTTGAGGTCAGGCAGGGTGGCTCACACCTAGAATTCCAGCACTTTGGGAGGCTAAGGTGGGAAGGATCCCTTGAGCTCAAGGAGTTCAAGATCAGCCTGGGCAACATACCAAGACCTTATCTATACTAAAAATAGAAAAACTAGCTGGGCATGGTGGTGGGTTCCTTAGTCCCAGATACTCAGGAGACTGAGGCAGGAGGATCACTTGAGCCCAAGAGTTTTAGGCAACAATGAGCTATTATCACAATACTGCACTCTAGCCTGGGTGACAGAGTGAGACCCTGTCTCTAAAAAAATTTATAAAAATAATTAAAGTAATTTTAATTTCTCTAAGAGGAGGTTCAGGACTGCTATGGTCTGAATTTTGTGTTTCCCCACCCTAAAATTCATTTTGATATCTTAACTTCCAAGGTGATAGTATTAGAAGGTAGGGCCTTTGGGAGGAGATTAGTTCATAGGGAATATTTATTTTTTCACGGTTCTGGAAGCTGAAGTCCAAGATCAAGTTCTCAGGTGGCTGGGTTCTTGGCATGGCTCTCTTCCTTGCAGACAGCCCCCTTCTTGCTATGTCCCTGGTATGTTTCCCAGCAGAAAGAAAGCAAGCTCTTCGGGGTCTCATTTTGTAAGGGAACTAGTCCCATCATGGGGGCCCCATCCTCAAGAGCACATCTAACATTAATTACCTCCTAAAGGCCCCATCTACATATACCATCATCTTTGGGGTTAATATGACTTGGGTGAAGGAGACTCAATTCATTCCATAGGAGTATGTGGCCTATGTGTAGGCCAGGACCAGTTTTAAGGCTGCCCTGAGTCTCCAGACAGTTGATACATCAACCAGTTCCATTGAAAGGTACCTTGAATTTTTCTTTTCTTTCTTTTTCTTTCTTTTCTTTTCTTTTCTTTTCTTTTCTTTTCTTTTCTTTTCTTTTCCTTCCTTCCTTCCTTCCTTCCTTCCTTCCCTTCCTTCCTCCCTCCCTTTCCTTCCTTTCTCCTCCCTTCCCTTCTCCTTCCTTCCTTCATTTCTTCTATCCTTCTTTCTTTCCTTCTCTCTTTCTTTCTTTTTTTTTTTCCAGAAAATGCCCAAGCTAGAATGCAGTGGCATCATCACAGCTCACTCCAACCTCAAACTCCAAGGCTTCTGCCTCAGCCTCCCAAGTAGTTGGGACTATAGGTGCCCACCACCACACATGGCTAGTTTTTCTAATTTTTGTATAGATGAGGTCTCATTATGTTCTCCAGGCTGGTCTTTAAACGCCTGGCCTCAAGTGATCCTCCTTCCTTGCCCTCCCAAAGTACTGGGATACAGGCCTGCGCCACCTTGCCTGGCCTGTCCATGTCTTGCCTTGTCCCCTGGGCTGGTCTGTGAACTCCTGGAGGACAAGGGCTGGGTGTGATGTCTCTTTGTCCCCCTTAGACTTGGCTCAGAGCTGGGGCTTGGTTAGGTGTCTTTAATTCCAGTCTGTGGCTCTACATCTGCTGCCTACTTTGGGTTAGTGGGACTCTTAGGAGGTAAATGGAAGAAAGAAGACTCAGAATCTACATGGTCTTGTGGATAAGAGAAAGAGGGGTAGTGAGCAGGGACAGGGGAGTCCCTGCTCTGGCGAGGGATGGTGTCTTCTCATGTCTAACACTTCCCCTTCTCACCCATTCCCCACAGCTCTGGGAAGGGGCTACCCAGGGCCCACACCAGGGTGCATAAGGAAGATGAGGAGGGTGTTGGGAACATCTCCATTTGGGGCCGAAACATCTTCATGGGTTATCTCAACAACAAGGAGGAGACAGAGAAGAGGATGGACGCTCAAGGCTGGATGCACACAGGGGACCTGGGTTTTTTGGATGTTAATAAGTTCCTGTACATCACAGGCAATGTCAAGGGTGAGCAAGACAGGGCCATGCCCTGCAGGGCTGCCATGGACAGTGGTACAGGTTGCACACAGCACAAGGCTGAGTGAGGGCTGACTTCTAGCTTGGAGGAAGGGGTGCCTTTTTTATGCCTGAGATGCATCTTTGGTGTCTGTATGCAGAGGGCAGCAGCTATGGGTCCCTTACAATGTGGGACTGCTTTGCGCCCGTTTCCCCACCCCAAATCCTCACCCACTTGCTGTAGCTTTTCAGAGATGAACCTCCTTTTCTGCATATAGATATCATCACTCTCAGTTCTGGGGAAAAGGTCAACCCCAAACCCATCGAGGACCAGGTGAAGATGTACATCCCCATCGTGCGGCACGTGGTGGTGGTGGGCCAAGATGCTCCGTACCTGTGCGCCCTGCTCACGCTAAAGGTGTCTTGGGCTGTCCTTGGGCTTTGTGACAATCTGGACTGTCAGTTGGTTGAGTAGTGCTGGTGTCCTGGGCTATCCTTGGGCTTTATTACTGTCAGTTGGTTGAAGGGTGCTAATGACCTGGTTGCAAAATAGGATGCTGAGGTTCAGAGGGGAGGGGCACCCTCAGGGTGCCAAGTCCAGGATTTTAGCTACACCCTGGCTAGGGGAACTGGGGTAGGGGTCTAGGTGACCCCAGAGAAGTGGCCTGCTGTGCTGGTTTTTGCAGGGAAGGGGCTCCACCCAAGAACAACATTCCAGAGATAGTGCTTGGTGCTCACCAGGGGCACCTGAGACCATCTCCTGGCCTTTTGGGGGCACTGAGGGCCTTGATATTAGGACAAATGATGTGAGAGAGCAGATAGATGCAGTGTGGCTTGGCCGGCCTGGCCTCTCCCAGAGCAGGGGAGCACTACGCGTGCCCTCCCAGGCAGGGCTTCTGTTCTCATCTGTGCAGTGGTGAACGGGATGCTTGTGCAAGTGGCAGGTGCGGAGGCAGACTGGGAGTGGCCCAACCCCATTCCCCTCCCCTCCCCCGGCAGTGCCAGGTCAATATGGAGACAGGAGAGCCTCGAAACACGCTGACCAGTGAGGCTGTGGCTTTCTGCCGGCAACTCAAGAGCCACTCTACAAGGCTGACAGACATCATCAACGGCCAGGACCACATCGTCATGGGGTTCATCAGCGAGGTCATTGATGCCATCAACGCGGAAGCTCAGTCAGAGAGCACCAAGATTGTCAAGTGGACCATCCTCAACACAGACTTCTCCATTGCTGGCGGGGAGCTCGGTGAGAGGCAGGGTGCAGGAAAGGGCCCAAATGGCCAGTGGCATCCTGCAGCCCTGGGCTGAGGCTGAATTTGAGGGGCTTGGGTGGCCGTGTGGTTTTGCCTGTATCATTCAGCAAAACACCCATAAGTCTTGCAGGGTACATTTCCCAGGAGCTCCTCCCAAACCTGGTGAGCTGCAGACCAGGATTGCATACCCAGACCCGATCCCTGGCTTATGGGGGTGGTGGGAGAATTCCCCAACCCCACAGTACAGACCTGGGTTTCACAAAGTGTGGGCCGAGGGCCATTCACACACAAGGCCTTGAGGTGCTTGCTAAAATGCCCCAAATCTCCAGGGTTGGGTTGCTGGCACCCATAGTTTTTTTTTTTGTTTGTTTGGTTTTTTTTAGTGTTTTTTTGTTTGTTTGTTTTTTGTTTAGAAGCCCCTGGCTGGGTTCAAACCCACCACCCCTGGTGCATGGGGCCGGCATACTAACCATTGAGCCTCAGGTACCTAGCCTGTTTTGCTCTGCTTCTTTTTTGAGACAGACTCTCACTCTGCCTCCCAGGCTAGCGTGCAGTGGTATCACCATAGCTCACTGTAGCCTTGAACTCCTATGTTCAAGCAATCCTCCTGCCTCAGCCTCACAAATAGCTGGGAATGTGGGCACACACCACCATGCCCAGCTAATTTTTTTTTTAGAGACAGAGTTTCACTTTGTTGCCCTTGGTAGAGTGCCATGGTGTCACAGCTCATAGCAACCTACAACTCCTGAGCTTAGGTGATTCTTTGCCTCAGCCTCCCGTGTAACTGGGACTACAGGTGCCGGCCACAACACCCGGCTATTTTTTGTTGCAGTTTGGCCGGGGCCATGTTTGAACCCACCACCCTCGGTATATGGGGCTGGTGCCCTACTCACTGAGCCACAGGTGCTACCCTCCAGCTAATTCTTTTAATATTTGTAGAAATGGGGTCTGTGTTGCCCAGGCTGGTCTTAAACTCCCGGGCCGAGCACTTGTCCTGACTCAGTCTTCTAGAGTGCTGGGATGACAGGTGCAAGCCACCACTTCCTACCTGGCATCCGCATCTTAACCAGTACCTCCGGTTCTCAGGGAGCTCTGAGATGGGCTCCTAGCACCAAGGGCTCTTCTGCTGGCCACCCAACCAAAGCCTCCCGCTGCCCCATGCCCCTTCCTCCCCATATCCCTAGAGCACACTCAGCCTGCCAATACTCGTCCTATCAGGCAGCCAGGCTGCAGGGACCGCCTGGGGACCTCCTAGGAGTGGAGGGACTTGGGACTTGCTTCTGTTACAGGAGAAACAACAAAAGTGAAGAGGGCAATTGTGGCCAAGATATACCAAGAGGAAATTGAAAACTTTTACAAGGAGGATTGATTAATTATGGCCAAGAAGGGGTTCCATGCTCTGTGAGAGGGCTGCCATTTTCCCCTCTGTGTCCCTTTCCATTGACTATCAAGGAGCCAATTCTTAGAGGGAGGAAAGTGCTCCCAGCGAGGGGGGCCGCTGGCCACTAGCATGCCTCTCTCTGGGGAGGTGTTATAAGTCTACAAGAATTAATAAAACTGGCTCACTAGAGCAGTGGCTCTCAGCCAGGGGCAAGTCTGCTTATAGGGCTCCTGTGGTGATGTCTGGACATGTCTGTGGCGGTCACATCTGGTGACTTGGCATGGTCTGGGAGGGTGCTGGTGTGCTGCTTAGCACTCCAGTATTCAGGATAGCCCCCCATGTGAGGAGGAGATGTCAGTGGTGCCTGGCTCCACAGTGAAGGCTCTGTGAGAGTCAGAAGCTGCTGTCACAAAGCTGGGTTTCTTTCCTTTCACTTTGAAAAATACACACACAGTCTTAAGTAAGAAGTAGTTTGGGTTTTGGTGGACAGGCCTGTTGTCCTCTTTTAGAGACAGTGTGGGGGTATGGCCCAGCTACCTACAAGCATCCTGAGGTGCACATGAGGGCAGACAAGGGCCTGCAACCAGCCTGTGTATGGGGTCGAGGGCACCCAGGCTCAGTTCACACACTGGATTCATCAAAAACACTTGGGAGACTCCTTGTTCACATGGCACATGTTAAAAATCCCATCTGACACCCAACTTGTAGAGAAGATACAGAGATAAGCCTGTGAAGTCTGTGGGCACATGCAGCCATGTGCAGTGCAGGTCCATGCTAGCCAGGTGGGTACTCAGCCCTGACAAAGTTCCCACTGGGGCTGCAAGTGGCCGTCAGCCCAGGGCATGCACAGGGAGCATCTACAGCGTTCCTGTACATGAGTAGGAAGCTGAAGAGCAGCGTCAGGAGAGAGGCTGTACCGAGAACTGGCACTCAAGGAGAGCCACCATATCTTGCTTTGTATAATGTGCGTGTTTTTGCCCAAATTTTTGAGAGAAAAATAACTATGTATATTATATATAGATGGTATGGCTTGGAAGCAGGGGAGCCCAGCAGGCCTCCTAGGGCTGCCACGCCCTCTGTCTGGGACCTGCTGGGTGCGTAGGGGAAGGTGCTATAAGTCTAAAAGATCCTCTGGTCTGGGAGGATCTAGGATTCAGTGGGAGTGGGCCAGAATGGCCTCTGCGGAAAGCCGTGATTAGGGGAGGGATTGATGGCAGGAATGGCAAGGTGGATGCTGCTGTGCAGAGTGAGGGCTGAGGCCTGAGGCCTGGCCAGGTGAAGGTGGACTGCAAGTCCTACACAGGCCCCAGGGACCCACTTGGCTACCTGCAGGCTGAGTGGCCTCAGAAGCTCCTGCCCTGCCAGCCATAGGTTTGTCCATCTCACTTGTGCCAGTGACGAGGCAGGGAAGGAAGGGTCCTGGGAGAGAGGGAGGGGGCAAGCTTCAGAGCAGTGGCTTGGGAGTGTGGGTGTATGTGATCTGTAAATTTACCAGGAGAGTGCTAGTCCTCCCCAGATGTGCCTCTCCGGGCTGAAAGCTGACCAGTTTCTTGGGCATTTTCCTGCAAGTTTGAGTCAAAAATGTGCATGTACATTATACATGGGAGCACATTATACACAGCAAAATACGTCATTTCCCTGGAGAAATACTAGGGAATATTATTTAAGAATTAAACATGTGAAGTTGGTTGGCTTGGTTTCTGGTTCAACGTGTGGTGCTAGGAAGTCATCATGTCCATCCTAACCAGAAAAACAGCTGAAAGGCTAAAAATGGCCTGACCAACCTTGAGGGAGGGAACTTGCCAATCCCAAATCCCTCTAACTTAGGATGTCTCACCTCACTGGGGAAGCTGAGAAACTTGTGAAGGCCACAGCCCAGGAGCACTGGCTCATAAAATACTGAGACCAAATCACAGGACTGCAAAATGCTCCCTTCCCCCATATTTTACCAGGGGGGAATGTATAATAACTGTGGGTTACACGTGAATCGCAAGACACACTATTTTAGAAGGCATCTCTGGGGTAACTAGAGCAAGAGAGGAGACAAAAGGATGCCACAAGAAAATTTAGCCTCTGATGCCACAGCAAATAGCAAATACAGCCCACCTCCTAGCCAGAGAAACACAAAACTTCACACCAAAAGCCTATGTATCTCAGTTCCTTTTACCTAGTATATTATCACATATGGTTTTCAACAAGAACAAAAAAATACAAGACATGCTAAAAGGAAACAAAAGAAAACAGTGTAGAGAAACAAGCCAAGCATTACCACAAGGCTTAGCTATGCCAGAGATTTTGGAATTATTTGTTTGTGGGGTTTTTTTTTTTTTTTTTTTTTTTTTTTTTTTTTGGGTTTTTTTTTTTTTTTTTTTGAGATAGAGTCTCTGTCACCCTGGGTACAGTGCTGTGGCATCATCATAGCTCACAGCAACCTCAAACTCCTGGGCTCAAGTGATCCTCTTGCCTCAGCCTCCTGAGTAGCTGGAACTACAGGTGTCCACCACAACTGTAATTTGCCTGACTAATTTTTCAACTTTTAGTAGAGACAGGATCTCGCTCTTGCTCAAGCTGGTCTGGAACTCCTGAGCTCAGGTGATCCTCGCACCTTGGCCTCCCAGAGAGGATTATAGCCATAAACCACTATACTTGGCCCCACACTATGCCTTTTAAATAAAAATGATTAATATGGATTTCCTGATGATGGAGCATTTTTTCATGCTTCTTGCCCATTTGTCTTTTGCCCATAAACTATCTGTTTATGTCTTCTGCCCACTTTTTAATAGGATTTTTTTCCTTGCTGATTTGCTTGAGTTCTTTGTAAATTCTGTTATGCACCCTTTATTGGATGTGTAGCTTACAAATATTTTCTCCCATTCTGTAGGTTGTCTGTTTGCTCTGTTTATTTCCTTAGCTGTGCAGAAAGTTCTTAAACAAATCCCATTTATTAATTTTTATTGTTGCCATGATTGCCACTGGGGTCTTTTCCATAAATTCTTTGCCTAGGCCAACATTTAGAAGAGTTTTTCCTACATTTTCTTCTAGAATTTTTATGGTTTCTGGCTCGGCATCCATAGCACAGTGGTTACGGTGCCAGCCACATACACTGAGGGTGGTGGGTTCAAACCCAGCCTGGGCCAGTTAAACAACAATGACAACTGCAACAGAAAAATAGCTGGGAGTTGTGGTGGGCACCTGTAGTCCCAGCTACTTGGGAGGCTGAGGCAAGAAAATCCTTAAGCCCAAGAGTTGGAGGTTGCTGTGAGCTGTGATGCCATGGCACTCTACCAAGGGTGACATAGTGAGACTGTCTCAAAAAAAAAAAAAGAATTTTTATGGTTTCATGCTTTAGATCAACATCATTAGTCATCAGAGAAATAGAAATTAAAACCATAATGAGCTATTAACTTACCCCAGTTAGGATGAGTTTTATTTAAAAAGTCCACAAACAACAGATGCTGTGTGGATGCAGAGAGAAAAGTATGCTTGTTAGTGGGACTACACATTTGTACCTCTATGGAAAATAGGAGGGTGATTCCTCCAAGAACTAAAAGTAGACCTACCACTTGATCTAGCAATTCCATTACTGGGTATTTAACCAAAGGAAAAGAAATCATTTTATATAAGACACCTTGGCTTGGCGTCCGTAGCACGGTGGTTATGGTGCCGGCCATATACACTGAGGCTGGTGGGTTTGAAACCAGCCCGGGCCAGCTAAACAATGACAACTGCAACAAAAAAATAGCTATAGTCCCAGCTTCTTGGGAGGCTAAAGCAAGAGAATCACTTAAGCCCAAGAGTTTGAAGTTGCTATGAGCTGTGACACCATAGTACTCTATTAAGGGTGACATAGTGAGACTCTGTCTCAAAAGAATAAATGAATAAAGACACCTGCAGTCCAGGTGCAGTGGCTCACGCCTATAATCCTAGCACTCTGAGGCTGAGGTGGGTGGATCCCTTGAGCTCAGGAGTTCAAGACCAGCCTGAACAAGAGCAAGACCCTGTCTCTACTAAAAATAAAATACTTAGCTGAGTGAGGTGGCACATACCTGTAGTCCCAGCTACTTGAGAGGCTGAGAGGCAAGAGAATCACTTGAACCTAAGAGTTTGAGGATGCTTGAGCTATGATGATGCCATGTTACTCTACCCAGGGCAACAGAATGAGACTCTGTCTCAAAACCAACATATAAACAAAAAAACCCAAAAAAGACATCTGTACTCAAATGTTTATTGCAGCACAATTCACAATTGCAAAGATATGAAATCAACCAAAGTGCCCAGCAATTCATGAGTGGATTAATAAAACGTGGTATATGCCAAAGAGCACTATGCAGCCCAAAGAAAAATGATGAATGAATACCTTTTGCAACAATCTGGATGGAACTGGAAACCATTTTCCTAAGTGAAGTATATCACAAGCATGGGAAAACAAACACCCCATTTCCCCACTCTTA